CACAGGTCTCGCACAGTGTCGGCACCGACACGGCATCAGCTAGCCACTGACGGTTTCTTCTTCTGGGCTCACACGTCCAAGGTTCCACGCTCTTCAGGATTGTGTCGCAGGTGAGAATAATATGCATATTTTCTGTATCTTTTAGTCCTTTCAAGAGTGAAAGGAAAAGTGCAGTCTTTTTTTTTACTGGAGTGCATGAGAAACAGCTTCGACGAAGGACGAGTTCAAAATATCAGGCATGTCCACAACAGATAAATATACGATGATAATGTGCTTCTACTGGCCACACTTGTCTTGCTACTGTTGTTATTTTCAAGGGCTGTAGTGGTGCTCTCCTTTTCTTTCGGTAGGGGAGGGACGCAGAGCAAATGAAGGAAAAGTGTCTAGATTACATGAAGCGCAATGTGCGATTGATTGTAGAATAGCGGTGAGTGGCACAGGGTGACGTCAGCGAGCTTGACAAGGATCCGTATTCAGTGGATGCAAGCGTAGGCAGTCCAAAGGTGTGATTCACATTGCAGTGCCTGTTGCTGCATTTTCCTCCTGCTCCTGCTGGCTCTGGGCGCGCACGGCATCCTGGCGGATCTTCAGGAGTGTCCTTGCGTTGTGCTTTCGCTGCGCGCACTGAATTTTGATGGCGGCCTGCGTTGACGTCATGCTCGGAGTTTTCCCGCTGCGGGCAGTTGCCCAGCGTTGCAAAAAGGCGTAGATGTCGTCAGGCTTTTCACGCACGGCGTCAACTACGAAACTCTCAAGTTGCTCGCGCATGCCAACCCGCTCGAGGTACTCTCGTTGCTCCTCACTGTACTCAAGGCCGTAATCCATTTTGTGAGAATCACTGTACTTATTTTCTGTTCTTTGCGTTTGGAAACTTTTGTTCGTTTTTGCTTTTCCTATAAGCTTGTTTATCGAGAAGAGGGTTAGGATAGGGGGTTGTGAGTGGTGAAGGCCGTGCGAGTTGAAACAAGGAACAAAAAAGATACGAATGGCAACGGCTCACAGCAGTTGACAGAGGCACGACTGAAGGCAGCAATGGAAATTCAGAAAGGAACCATACCCGTGGCGCGCAGACGCCACCTGTGCAACCAATATCTTGTGTGTCATGTGAGGAAGTGTCAGGGGCGGGGCAATTATACACCGCCGTGCTTAGGTGCGAGGTAGATCATGTTGCCGTCCGCCCTGGTGAAGGTGGAGTAGCGGAAGGTGAAGTCGGTGCTGCCGCACTCCTCTTGCGGCCACGAGCGGCAGCGTGACTCGTGGCACGGCGATACGAGTGGCGGGGAGTGGGGCAGAAGCAACAGCGGCGTTGTGTTTGCCTCCCGTGGCCGCCGTCGCCACGCGGGCAACGTGCTGCAGCACTGCTGCTCTGCCACCATGGCGGCGTCCGTCACCTCCGTCTCTTTTTTTTCTTCGCATTGAGCGTCACGGCAGGCAGCTGCAGATCCCTCGAGCAGTGGGCATTCGAATAGCAGGCGCCAGTACGGCGACCCGCGCTCAATGCGGCGTCGCTCGCGCACACAGATGCCACGGCCCGCGGCGGTGGTGAACATTGTCGGCACCAAGACCGTCACTATCGCCGGCTCGGCATCAGCAACGTTGTGCTCCTCTTGTGCAGCCGCATTGGACTGACTCGTCGTCTCTGGATCAGTTGTGAGACCACTCTGTTGCCTTTGTTGCTGTTGTTGATGCTGGGACACAAACAGCGGCGTTTTTTGTGGGTGTGAATCAACACACGTGACAACAGCGGCACCCACCTCGCTGTTGCTTCCATCATCAGCATCACTCTTGATGTCACTGCTGTTGTTGTTAGCCGCTGCATCGCCGTAAGTGCAGCTCTCTTGACTGGTACAGCGCTGCATTTTCTCTTCGAGCATTTCGCCAAGTTTCGGCACGCCCTGCATGAACTGTTTCTCTTTTTTTGTTATCGACGTTTTTTTTTTGTTCTTGTCTGGATGTATCGTCCGTTCTCAGGCTCTTCTTTATCCTTTCTGTGCCTCTTTACAACAGAAGGATGCGAGAAACAGCAAAAACAATCCCCAATGTGCGTGCAAGGACGATGCATATGTGCGCCGCTGCAAGATATCCTTTATTGCCGCTCCCGCAGCGGTAGCAGCGGTAGCAGCTGGATCCTGACCCTGATCCTCCCCCACACATGTATGATGAGGAGCGCACCATGGATGCCATGACGTCTAGCACGCAGCGGCGATGCCGCAGAAGATCAACAACAGCAGCAAAGGCGGGGCTCAGAAGCATACACCGCCCGTCGTCACGGTTCTCTCTCCTCCAGCAACAGATGGGGAGTGTAGAGGGAAGCAAACGCGCATTCAGGCCCAGACATAGTTGAGCAACCGCTTATTCATTGCGCCACGATTAGTTCCATCTCGTTTACCATATTTCGCTCTCTTTGTTTTTTTTTTTTGCGTTTGGTTCAAGAATTGTGAAAATCCGGCGCACACAAAGAAGGAAAACAAGAAAAAAACGCGAAGGAAGAGATCGGGTATATGCGCATACAGAGAGAAAAATCTCGTTTTCGCCCACGCGCATATCACTCTCCTTAGCATTACTCCACACCCTCCACAGAAAAAAAAAACGGTCGCAATGCGCTCACACCTCTGGCATCTGTGTCTCGCTTCCTTCATGTGTGTACGTACTGTAGCAATAACTCACCTTGTTTACATGCCGGTGTCGTGTTCCTGGTTTATTTTCTCCTTGACAATACTGCTGCACATCGTCCCCCATCGGTGTGCCTATGCCATTAAGGCTGGCGCCCCAGCAGTAGCAGCAGCAGCGGTGCCCGTGCTACGTCTCGCCTCCATCTGCTTCGCCGCCCACTGCGCCATGTATTCACATGCGTTCTCCGGCTTCTCCTGCACGACGTCGGCGACGAGACGCTGAAGTATACCTTGGACGTTGTGCGAGTGCAAGTACTCCTGATCCTTCTGGATACTACTGATGTTGTGACTGGCGGCTTTAAGGCTCATTTGTTTTTGTTTTTCTTTTCAGCAGGGGGTTAACTTCTGTGAGAATCCGTGTTCACGCAGCAAAAGAAAACCGAGGAGACGGACCCCCCCCCCNCGGACCCCCCCCCCCAAAAAAAAAGAGTACGGGCAACACAACTGGGAAGCAAACAATGCAAAAGAATTCCCTCATACACATACAGATACACATACAAACAGGAATATGTATATGGAGACGCACGTTTCACCTATTGGTTATCTCCTGACTCGACTATTGGTTATTTCACCACCACAAGTTTACATCTTGCCCAGGGCCCGCCGGTAGCTGCAAGAAGATGGGTGCCGCCTGGCTACTTCTTTTGTGGATTCAGATTCTTCCTTACAACACTCACCTTCTTCTCCCCTGCTGGAGGTTTCTTCGCCACACTCCCTGTCCGTGTTTTCTTCTTCTGCTGCTGCTGCTGCTCTGGTGGCTGTACAATCGGCGGCAGCGTTGTTGTCGCCGGCATTGCTGTTGAGTGCTGTCGCGTGGCAGTTAGGGCTTCTGGTGGGGCGATGGTGCCGCCGCGTATACGCACGTAATAACCGAGCGTGTCGTCGAACTTTACACCGCACAGAACGCACAACTTCCGCGCNACTGGCCCCTCGAAAAGGGATGCGTGGCCGCGGCCGTGGCGGCATGACTTCACCAGCTCCTCCTGCTGATGCAGGAACCGCTTCATCTGCCGGGCTGCTGCTCGATTGGCGGCAGCCTCCTTACGCTCGCGCTCTTCGCGCAGCGCCACCTGCTCCGGGCTGTTCATTAAGTTCTCGTACGCTAGACGTTCCGCCTCGCTGCGGTCGGCTAGTTCCCGTGCGCAAAGTGAGGACCACGCGGCCGCCTCCACCGCGGCCTCGTCACGGCGCCAGGAGGCCTCGGTGCCAATGAGGAAAGCGCAGGCGGCGCGCAACGACTGCTCGCACTCGCGGCGCCACTGTTCCAGCGCCTGCTCCTGCTGCTCGAGCCGCGCCGTCTCCTCGACCTCGTGCCGCCACGCCGCACGTCCCTCCGCGCGGAGGGCCTCTTCACGTGATTCGTCCTGCCGCTGCTGTGCAGCAGCCCGCCCTCCCAAACGGTGTAGTAGTAAACGCATGGCCCTGTCGTTGAGGAGCTCGCCACCCGCCTCTTCCTTCCACGCAGCGAGCGCGGCGAAGAAGGATGTGGCATCGGCGATTAAATCCTCCCGCAACATCGTCTCCTCGCGCTCCACCTCCCGTCGCTCGGAGCTGTTCTTCAACAGACCATACTCCTGCAACGCCCCTTCCTTGATAAGACCCAGTTCCCAAGGCTCGAAGCGCCGCCGCACGCTGTTTTCGATACACGAAGAAGCCTTGTTGACGTGCTCCTCCGTGCATGGCACTACACCCCCCACAGCACCACCATCACTACCACTACCAGAAACAGCAGCAGTAGCGGTACGAGGCGATGATGCCGATGTGCCCGACGGAGGAGCCAAAGTCTTCGAGCCATGTCTACTGCTGTTTCGAGTCATTTAGAATGGCAGACTAAACTCCTACAGCATCTATTTCGTTCTCATAAAGAGTGCACACACACACCAGGGAAAGGGAAATATAGAAAAGACAATAAGAATGCACCAGTAAAAAGTCATCATAGCAGAAATTATAATGGCACAAAAGTAGTTTAGAAATAAACACGGAACGGTAATTTTCCTCCACACCATACCACGCCTAAAAAAAGCAAAGAAGCACATGCAAATGCAGCACCCATAGTTAGTGGCTTTCACGCGCAGTCAAACCGGTCTGCCAGCGCCTTGCTGTACTCGTCAATCTTGTTCACAGTTGTTGTCAACGATGCGAGCTGCGTCTCAACCGCATCCACGCGGGCGAACTGCAGGCGTAGATGCTTCATCACTTCCGCTGTCGCCTCCAACTCCTGCACTGCCCCCCTCGCCGAAGTCTGCACCATCTCGCAGCGCTTCCGCAGCACATCGTTACACCTCCCCAGCAGCTGCAACTCCTCTGTACTTGTCTCCATCTCCACTTTAATGTACTTTTCCAACGCAGTGTGTGCCTGGCGCAGCTGCTCCATCGCCTCTTCGTGTGTACCCGTCGCGAAGGAAAATGAAGTGGCGTCAAGTCCTGTAGAATCGCTGCTGAAGGAACCTTTATGGTCCTGTGGACTTTGGGAGCCTATCCGCTGCGACATCGCGCGGTCGCACAGCAAGCAGCACTTTCGATCACAACAGAACGAAACCGCAAGAAAAAGACAAAGGGAAAGGGAAAGGCACCACGTGAAATGCATTGAAGTGAAAGGAGGATGCTTGACGCGCAGTTTTGTATGTGCGTGGGTGTGTTTGTGTGGATATGTTACAGAAAAGAAGGTGGTGCATGCAGTCTTGGCGACTTCGAAGGAAAGAGAAAGGGGCCGCCAATTCCCCAGCAGTTTCGTGGTCTTACACCATCTTGCCAAGTTGTGGTGCGGAGTCGCGGTCGCAGCGGAACACCTCCAGGAGATCTGACAGCATCTCCACTTTCTTCTGCCGTGTATCGCCCTCCAGTGTGTAGAGGCGCACACTGTTGCCGAGAAACGCGTCGGAGTGTAGCAACCCGATGGGGTCGTGCCGCAGATATTCCTCCAGTGTCTCAATGACGCCTCCCATCACAGCTTTGGGGCCCTTACTCTGCGTCGTCTCGTACAGCATGCACACCAGATGCGAAGTGGCTGCGCTCACCCACAACTGCCGGGACGCCGCGCGGCAGAGTGCGGACTGTGCCTTTTCCTCGGCAGTAACGGTTTTTCGTGGGGCAGAGACAGTGGGCATGTTGGGTGCAGTCTGCGCCACATTGGCTGGGCCGCGGCACAAGTCTTGTGTACCGCGTGCCACGTCACGAAAGAGAGACGCTCCCTCCTCTATACGGTCGTTGAACGTTAACCACAACGCACGATTGAGTGCCGCAAGAAATCGATGGAACTGTTGCACATCTGCCGACTCGTCGGCAGTAGAAAGGCCTTCAATTGCCTGAAATGCATCCTCAGCGAGGAATACGTTACCGCAGCGCAGACACAGCGTTGCCAACTGCTGCAGGTGCAGCATCTGCCGCATCACTACGTAATCCTCGTTTTCCTCATCATCGTAGTGCTCCGCCGCTATTGTCGTCTCACACAAGCGGAGCGCCTCAGAGTACTGCTCAGACTCGTAGTGGCTCACAATGAGCGCCCGCTGCACCCGCTTGAGACGTGCTTTCCACATTGACGCCGCTGTTTTTGCTGTTGTTTCCGCTTTTGTTGATCCTGTTGTCGTACCTACATGCTGCTGGCACTCTTCGAGCAGATTGTAGAGCCGTCGTTGGGTATCCATGACGGCACCACAGTAACTAGGAAGCAGTGCACTGATGAAGCGGAGAGAAAACGGCACAACAGACTCTTGGGTTGCCGGGTCAAGAAAGCGGTCGCTGCCAAGGTCCCCCAACGCGTCAACCAACTTCTTCGCCGCCGCGTACCGCTGCATACTAAAGTAAGCTGTCACTTGCACGAGATAGAAGCGCAGCCTAGCCGCCACATCGGTGAGTGTGTCTCCGCTTATTTTGGCACTCAGTTCTTCTGCCAACATCGCCACGCCGTTCCAATTAGCGTTGGCTGCCAAACACCGCAGCCCATCCTCGTTGTGCGGCACTCCATCCAGCGTACACTCGCGCCGTACCCACTCGGTCGGAATATTGCCAAGAAAAGCCTGTGCCGTTTTCAAGGAGCTCGGTGAGGGCATAGCATGCGCTCTTGTACCCTTTTTTTTTCTTTATCGCCTGCGCTTTGTTGTTGTTGTTGTTGTTGTTGTTGTTACGATGGTGGTAATGGTCTGGTTTTTTGGTGGAAAGAAGAGCCAGGGCATGGGCACAATGCACACCAGAGCTAGCAGCATCCGCATCCGCATCAGCGGTCGTCAATGCAGAAATGACACCAAGGGAATGCATGCAGTTCACCCAGGCGCACCAAAAACAAAACAAAAAAAACAGAAGCCCGTTTGTGTGCCGACCGCAACAAACAGCGATAATAAAATAAAAGCAGGTGTAGTGTGGAGATGCACACTGCAATAGGGAAAACACAAACAAAAAAACAACGTGAATAAATAAAAACAAGCAACTTCGACTCGATGCTTTGTTTGAACACACACACTCTCTCTCTCAAGAACCACATATATTTCAGTCTCCCCGTCGCTGTGCTGACATGACGCACTTTTCGATGAACTTGCACATCTTTGCGGTTGGCATGTAGCACATCCGAGCCAGCGCGCCCACATCACGGCCATCGTCGTCCGTGTCAACCGGCCAGCGCGAGCCCAACTCCAGAAGCCGCTCCAGAAACGCAATGTTTCTTGGCTTCTTGCCCCCAAGGACACACCACATCGCGGGTGTACGCCCACGATCGTCACGGTCGTCGACATGTTGCCTCACGTTGTACCGCTGAAAAAAAACATCTAGCAACGAGGTGCGGCCGAATCGCGCAGCGTGGTGAAGGATGGTGGCGCCAGTTTTACTTGAGCGCCACACAATACCTTCGCCGAGAGTCTCCAGCAGAAAGTTTAAGACAACGTCGGCGCCAGCCTCTGCTGCGGGGTATAATGCCTCGCATAACGTCGTGCGAGATGCCGTTCCGTGACAACGTGTAAAATGTTCAAGGGATCTCACCTGTCCATACGCACTTGCACGCTGCACACACCGCAGTGCATTGCTATCAGAGACACCAAATGCGTGCCTGGGATGAAATTTATCTATCCATTCCAGAAGCGGCACTTGGCCGTACACAAACGCTGTTTCATACACATCCAGCGAGGGCACTCCAGCTGTGACGTCACTGAGGCTTATGCACTGCCCCAGAACCACAGTAGCACCAAGACGCTCCACCAAGCACATGAGGAAACTCAGATGGCCGTATTGTGCAGCGAGATGTGACAGAAAGCGCCCCTCACCGTCGTGGATAGAGAGCGCCACGGTATCTAGTGGCACACGTCGGCGTTGGTACATGCACTCAGATCCCCGCACGTTCATGCAGGCGTCTGCATGCAACATAACGCCTTGTGAAGAAAGCATCTCGAGGAGAGTGGTGCTGCCGACCTCAGCCGCGAAATGGGCGGTTGTGTAGCGTTGCAGCAGCCAACGTGCGCGTGCTGGCATTGGGTTTTCGTACATTGCATTCAACAGCTGCACCTCGGCTGCATCGTACAGCTTGGCATTAATGTGCGCAGAGGTCCTGCCCTTTGCATCCCCATTTTTGATTTTATCTTCCTCCAAGGAGACAGGAGGCGTAACATCTGGGGAGCATCGATGGTTTGCCCATTGGGAAAGAATGTCGCTGAAGCAGGAGTCTGGATACGTGCGAAGCGCCTCCGCCACGAAGCTGCCGCATGACGGCAACGAGTGGCAAAGAGAAGCCGAAACACGTCGCATCTTGACTTACGTGCCACTCACACACACTCCCCCCAAATGGGGTGAGAAAAAACGGCGGGCGCTGTGCTGCGAAGGTAAGGAGAAAAGAAAAGAATAAACGAAAAGAGAAAGAAAAAAGGAAATCACAGGCGATGAAATCCAGAAAAGTAATTAAGAACCCATATTCATCGTTCTCAGGTTCAGTATTTTACTTCTTTTGTGTTTGCAATATATATATATATATGATATGACGCTGCATTGTAGTACAACAACAAAAAATGTTCGTCCGCAACGACCCACATCGACTCCGCCTCCTTCTGAGCGCTTCAGTCAGAGAGTAATATAAAGGAAAGTTTTCCAATCTTCACAGCATAGCAAGTTAAAACACAACATGAGGTTCAATTCACCGTTCACCTCTAACCCTTCACACCTCTCTCCTTCGCTCTCTCCCTATTCCTTTTGGGTTGAGAGAGAAAAGGCAAAGGGTATTTTGGGGTTGGCGCCCGGAGAAAAAATGGTGGGGAGCTTTTCAATATCATCACTACACGCAGGGGAAAAAAGGGGGTGCAGCAAAAGATCCGCAGCGGTTGGTCGCTGTTCAGGATTATGGCGGAAGCACCTACGCAAGAAGTCGCTCAGCGTCTCATTGTCAGTAGTGTTTGTCAAGTATGGGGCGGCAGACGTCATGTCCGCCAAAAGCAACGGGCTATCCATAAACTTGGGTGGGCAGGCAAAGAGCTCGCTGGCCAAGCAACCAATGGACCAAATGTCGCACTGGCTCGAGTGGGGCTCCCCTCTGTAGACTTCTGGAGCCATATATCGAAGTGTACCCTCCACATCTTTGCTTGTCTTTCCCTGCCGCGCCGTTCCAAAGTCTGTTATTTTCACAGTTTCCCCTTTAAGCAAAATATTTGGCGGTTTGACGTCCCGGTGTGCCACACCACGGACGTGCAGATATGTGAGAGCCGTTAGTACCTGCCAAATAATCTGTACTACGGTCAGATTCGCTGGTTTCTTGGTCTTTCCAACGATAATGTCACTCAAGGAAGCATCACATAACTCCATAAAAAGATTTACATTGTTGTTTTTGCGCTCACAATGGAAATAATGGACAATGTTCGGGTGGTTCAGACTACACATGATCTGGATTTCGTTGAGGAGCTTATTGATAGATTCCTCGCCATCAGCAGAGAAGTAAAACATCTTCACGGCCATCTTTCCGCCTGTTAGATCACTCACAGCTTCATACACTGCGCCGAATGAACCTCGGCCGAGGAGTTTGCCTTTTGTCCAGGGTGAGTCCTGCCGGAGTGTGAGAATGCGCTCGCGCTCCTCTCGTGCAGTGGTCGCATTCTTCTTGAGTGATACAACTGTGCCTATGTCCATAAGTACCCTCCGTATCTCGCTGCCAGAGATGGGTGTGTTGATAACGTACTGGAACCCTTCCGAGGCGACGGAAACGCCGGGCTCAGCTATTGGCACGACGATAGCCCCATGATCAGGAGAGAGTATTAATTCCCGCGCCGAATTTAGCCACCCACGATCGCACACAATTACATCCACGTCATTTGTAGATGATTTGAGGCGTTTTTCCAGTTCATGTCGTTCTCGCACACTCGTAAGGGAAACAAACATAGTTTTCAAAAGAATCATGGAGATATTGTGCTGGTCCACCAAGTTTGTAATGAGTGTAAGAACATTTACTGTGCAGTTGACGATGGCGCGTGTCTGGTCAATGATGGACCGTTCACTGCGCGCCTCAAAGGCCTTAAAGGCTGCATCCTCCACATCCTCCAGTGCTGCTGTCACCTGACACGGGAAATGCAGTGAAACATAGTGGTCATCAATGTGCATATTCCCGCAGATACTGCGTAGAGAAGGTACAATATTTTCCCGAAAATTCGCCTTCTTAAGTCGCTTCTCATTTTCCTTAGAGACTGGGGTTATGGTCACAGCCAAAGAATAAATGCTGCCAGTTGGGTTCAACGTCTGCAGTTTCACAGAACATGCAACTCCCAGAGCACTCAACACAGTAGCAATAACTTTGGGTACGCTTGGATGTAAGCACAGTGTGGCAGGAAACATGGGATCTACGTATCTTGTGTGTTGCAATGTTGAGGAGCGGAGTGCTTGTGCCAACAGCTGTTCTGCTGTGGTCCACTCCCATTCTGTCAACATCTCGCGCGCGAACTCGTCCACCTGTTTCACGAAGGCGCACTGCAGAAAAGACTGCAGACCAGTAATTAGAGCTTGTCCTTCCGTTTTTACCACCTTTGCCGAGACCAATTTGGATATTGAGAGATTCACCTCGGATGTGAAATAGTCACGAATGTAGTTGCGATGCTCTCCTAAGTTATCCTTGGCGTTTGCGCAAATAAGAATGCTCCCAATTGGCGTCCCTGTAGGATTCAAGATTGGTGCGGCTATCGTGAGTAGTGTCACTGGAGCTGTAGCAAAGGCACGCAGCTTTACCTTCATCACATCGCCGCGGGACGCCTGCAGGGCAGTGATGTCTTGTGCAGCGTCACCGCTCGGCGTAATGACGAGCTCCGAGAGCGGCTTCCCTATACAGCCGTTTTCGAGGAAGCCTGTCATCACCTCCGCGGCTATGTTCCAACGTGTGATAAGGAATTTTTCATCGAACCCAATCATCACTGCTTGTGCATCCAGGTGCTTTCCCTCAATATACCCCACACCGTCGCCGTAGGGAATAGTGTAGTAGCCTTTCTTTGTATCGCGCCCTCGGCGCACCCGCAGCGGGTTCGCTGCACCAATTGGGACTCTCGCACCGTCGTTCTGTTCAGACAGGCGCAGCGGCATCGAATTGGCGCAAATACGCTCTTCGATCATTCGAGTGTAGAACTCCTGCAGTGCCCCCGACGAGGCGAAGAAAAAGTAGCCGATAGCAATACAGGGAATTGCCAAGAACAAAATGGAGATGATCCCCACACCTACCCCAACCACAGGAGGAGGGCGGACCAACGGAACAAGTAGCAGCGCGACTGTGACCTCAAGAAATGAGGAAACCAGCATGGCGATCAGCAACCCAAATACGACTGAGCTGTGTGTGACCCCTTTCCGTACAAAGGAAGAGGAGAAGGGAAATTTAATGTGTGCATCTCGCATGTGCTGAGCTGCTTCCTGTGCTAATCTAGTCACCGGTTTTTTCCACGCCAAAGCCTGTGGTCCAACACTAACAACATCATCGAGAAAAAGTCTTTCCATCCGCTCAAGCCGCTTCGGGAGTTCGTCGACACTTGATTCAGAATCATTCCTTCGATACGACGACGGAGGCACAGTGGCAAGCACCTTGAGCGTGGACTGAATGGAGTGGTGCACAGCATAGACTCGAGGAGTTTGCTCGTTTTTGCCCTCCAGGAACACTTGCTCTAGAAGTCCAAAGAAGGTGTCCATAAGTTCCGGCATGGACAAGATACTTTGTTCTACGTACACCTCGTCATCCTTCGTTGCAAGAATCGGGTGTGGCAACATTCAACCGACGACTATTCCTGTGAAGAAGACGCTGGTGTTTAAAAAAAAAAAAGGGAAAGTAAACAAAAAAGAAAACCTCCTGAATAATAGTGTTATGTATATATATACAAACATATATATATATATATATAAGGCCAGTGAAGGAGGAGGAAAAACAGGGAAAAACGGCTGAAATTCATCGGTCCAGTCCCCCTGCCTTTTTTTTTATCCTCACATCCTCGCACTGATAACAATGATGATCCATAACACTCTTCCAATTCCATTGAAGGGAATAGAAACTCTGTACATAACAAGAAATGCATCATCCATTCCGAATGGAAATGCTGCTGCCAGGTGCCGTCGTCAGCCGCTGCATGCGGCACCCATTTTTTTTTGTCACCTACTGTAACATCGAATAGACTTTCATCAAGAAAATCGATCCCAAACACGCAAAAAGAAACACCGCCATACATACACGCAGATATATAATGATGTCTTTTTAGCCTTGAGACTGAGGGCGGGAAATGGACTGCCGGCTCTTCGCACTGGACTTCCTCGACGCACGACGGCGGGAGGCGCTTGACTTTCTTCGGCCTCCCTGGCTTTTCTTACGCTTCGCAGTGGAGCTACGCGACCTCGACTTCTTGCTGCCACTGCGACGGCCCTTTCCTTTGCGTGCACGCTTCGACCTGCTTCGTCCACGTCGCAACGAGCGTCCACGTGCTGACACAGTCGAGCGCCCACTGCGTCTGCCAACGCAGCTCTTTCGGCGCAGCGCAGGTGGCAGCGTTGCAAGGAGCTCATGGGGTGCGCCTGGCCGCGGAATACCCGTATTTCCGTCGGAGAAGCGGTGCAGTACCATCGATGAGGCTGCGAATACCGGGGGCAGCCCACCTGTCCTACCTGACTGATATCCTGTGTTGCTCAAACCGTACTCCTTACGGTGATCAACATAGTGTAGAGCAAGTGCGTCAGCGCGGGAGCCTACGTTGTATGTCTTCTCTTCATAACGAACTGGGCAAGCGCTAGTGTACCGCGGCACAACGGCACGAAGGGCATCCTCCATCACCTCATCCTCATCTGAGCTGCCCCCAGCCTCAAGAACGGCGTTAAGGGCTGAACGCCCGACACTGTATTGGCGTCTACCTTCACGCGTTACACGCGGCACCCGCACTAATAAGTGCTCAGTTCTTTTAGCCGGTTCACCAAGATGTATCTCCACATCAGCTGCAGCATTATCACCACTACCATTATCCTCATTATCCTCATCATCATCATCATCATCATCATCATCATAGTCTTCACCGGAACAGCTACTGTTTCCAGAAGCATCAGCACCTTGCTCCAGGCTTTGAGGGGCATCCAAACGGTAGTTATCAGGATCTATCAGTCCTCGACCTTCTAGAGCATTCACAACACTCCTCACATCTTGCTGTTCGAGAGTCTCCCCTATTCGGACAAGCTCCCAAATAGCCTCACTATTTGCCTTCACCTTGCGTATCATAAATGCAACGCATGAATTGTGAGAAGGATTCGCCACCGTCACCGGGATGATGGCAACCGGCACGATGGCTCCTGGTTTTTTAACAGCGTAGTACACATCGGTCATCTCAGTGAGTGGCGCATCCGCACCAAAAAGTGTGGCACATAGGGACACCCCACTCCACATCGCAATCTTCTTTAAGTTCACGAGGATACCGTCTCCAGCTACTACACGAGGTCTCCCTGTTGGTTCCAAAAAATTGTGTGCAAACTCGGAACTGGGGGTCATCTTGACAACGGTGTGAGGTTGATGCAAAAGCCCCTTGTTGTTTGTCGTCGCACGGCCTACCCCCACATAGTCAATCTGCCCACAATGTTCACTGAAGAGACATGCAGTAGTGTCGAGGAAGAGTGGTACATCCTCATCTTCTGGTACTTGACGGTAAAGAGTGATCTCTAATTCCGTTATATGGCGACCGATAAGTGCAGACTCACCCTTCATAAGTATTCGAACGGGTGATTCAGCCAGCGCCTTCTCCAGCAGCTGCGCCGCCTCTGCTGCTGAGTCGATTCTTGAAGTGCCTCTGGAGGCATCTCCGCTTCGCCTTCCTCCAAATGCCGAATTGGATTTCAAAAACTTTTTTGACTTTCTGGTGCTCCGCTTCCTCCTGGCAGCAGAATTAGACCTTGACCTTGACTTCGATCGGGACCGAGATCTTGAACGTGACCTTGACCGTGACTGTGACCTTGACTTGGATCGGGATCGGGACCTTGATTTGGTCTTTGGCTTGCCCGCAATCCGTCCCATCCTTATCCTGTCCCTTTTTGCATCATGAAAAAAAAAGAAAACCAAATCCGTCGAGCATCAAGGGCAAAAATAGCAGCAAAAAAAAATGAATAAAGAAACGGATCATATACTCAAAAAAAAAAAGCAACAGCATAAAGTAGAACCATCTTCAACTTGATCTTTTTTCGTTCCTTTCATTTTACCAGCCTTTTCAAACGGCGATACTGGGGTGAATCAAGCGCAGCGAGAGCATTCTCAACGCTACGCGTCACAGCCACTAACTTCTCGTACGAACACACCATCCACGTTGTTTGTACTGTTCCACTAATGGGATCCATAGTCGTCAATGCAATCGTGTAGTGTGGCATACCAGTCGACTCTGGGATTCGACGGCAACCAAGCGGAACCTCTAAACGCCACTGGATTTGGGCGTACTGCGGGCTAGAACTTCCAGGCATCCCCACTTCATCGACTAAGCCTTCCATCATTCCCTTGTCGTCTGCACTACAGAAACGACGAGAGAAAGTATGAACACAGAGAAAAACTCCTTGTTCGCCCCATTCTCGTATTGTCTGAAATCAAGCAAAGGGAATTGCTACCATGCCGAGCTCAATAATATCGATAACGTCACAGTAGCAGAGACAAAAACATGATGCTGCATCCGATGTAAAATGAATAGCAAACCCTTGGCAACAATTACCACAACTTGTTTTCAAAGTACGATCTTGTTGGGAAACTACAATTCTCCAGAAAGCATCGCAGCTTCCAGTCCAAGTAGTTTGGCTTCACCAATGTAAGAATCATATGAGACAATCAAGTCGCACACTCAAGGTCTTCAATGAAAAGAAAGAAACTTGTAAAAAAATTGGCCCCAGCACCATGGTTTCACACACATCAAAAAAAAATACAGAACTGTGAAGAATAAAGGCATCCTCCCAAGCTATGTGAACCGTGAAGAGCTGAACAAAAACAACCAAGTTCCACACAGTTGAAGTACTTCGCATTTATTTCTACCCACCAGAGCAATATAAATTTTTCTTTTAAAAAATTAAAAAGGCTGATTGAAGACACATTTTCGCTTTCGTTTTATATGCGGATGTACATTAGGATTCCCCTTTATAATCATATGTCCTCTTTCCGCCTCTACGCATAAAGAAGCCACTGAGATAAAACAAAAACACTCAGAGGAAAAACTTCATGTAATTCTCATATTCAGGTGAATACGAGTTTCACAACAAAATGTTACGAGCCCTGGCGAGGGTCTCCCTCGTTCGCTCAGACAAGCGGGACACCTGCACATCACTCGCAGAGCTTTCACTGTGGGACTGTACTAGGCTTGCGCGTGTCGCCCTGTTTTTTTTTAATTCAGGTGGGGCCACGGCACTTGGTCCTTCATTAAGCCTCGCTATTCGTATGCGCAGCTGGGCCATCTGGAGCTCCAGGGCCTCCTTTTCATCATTCCAGCTCCGCATCTTTTCTCGCACAGCCTCCTCGGGATCATATTCCGATGTTTTCAGCCATTTATTTGCCCGGTCCAAACGTGCTTGAAGAGACTGAATTGAAGAATCCAAATCCGTCTCTTTTTCAAGCAATTTGTTGAGACCACCAAGACTCATTACGTGGAAACGGAAATGTTTTAGCTCATATTGTTGATGCAACCCAATTTCCAATTCGTACAGTTCCACCTCAAGCTGCCTCATGATTTCCTCCCATTGAAACTCTTCCTCTAAAGCAATAAGCTCACGTAAGCCCAATTCCTCAGAAGAAAATGCAGCACATTCTGCAGCCTTTCGGTGTTCTGTCTCTTTTTGTTGAAGCATCCGCAACACTAAAACCTTTTCCATCTTAGCATAATATACTAATAAATAATGACAAATCAAACACCTTGTTTTTCTTTTTAGCAAAAAAAATGAAAAAGAAAAACAGGATGCGTGATACCGCATAGGAGATTCATAGAATAATAATAAGGTTTTTTTTAAAATGCGTTAGCAACGGAAACAAAAGAAAAAAATCACACCATACGCCACAGACCCATCCAAAAGTATTCCTGATGTTGTGCTAATACTACCATACTATCTTCAACTCCGACCCCGTCGAAAAACAAAAAAGAGACAGTTTGTCCTAGCTCCTATTGACTAATTTTATTTGCATCCTTGTATTCTTCAAGGCGCTCGATGACTGCTGGTGTCTGGAATACATGATCAGGGATCTCAGCACCACGGTAAAGCGACTCAAGGAGTGAAGCCGCACCTCGTGGAGTGGCCTCCCACTTCATTGTTTCCAGAAGGGACTTTGCCAAGTACTCCACAAGCTCAATGTGGGGAATAACCACCTTTGCATAGTCATCATCGGGATCTGCAAAGGCGTCAAGATGTTGACCATCCATTTCAACTTTCAGCTGGCCGCCCTTATCATCAAGAATCGGATAGGCCATGAGGCTGTAGCACTTCAGAAGGCGGTGAGGATCCCCCAAATGCGGTGGAAGGAAAACGCGAATAAAGGTTTTGTTTTCCTTGGCAACCTCTCCCAGACGCCGGAGCACATCCGCATCGCGAGGATCCATGGTGCAGGCATACTGGCTTCGAACGCGGTCGTTAACTTCTGGCTTCCGGAGCATACAGGAGTAAATCGTATCCAAGGCAGCGTTATCCCAGCCTTTTCCAAAGAAGTAACGGCAAGTGGCAACGGCCGCCAGCGAAGGGGTAGCAAATCGCTTCATCTAATAATGCTTATCTTTCTTCCCTTCCTATAATAAAATAGATGCAAAAGTACGACTCAAAACAAACGTCATAATCATAATAAATCCCCACGAAACAAAAAAAAATTATTATGGGAAGTACATACATTAATTGGGAAAATGATGGGAAGAGTGTCAAGCCTGCTCGCAAATGTAATGATGTCACCATACATCTCACCTCTTCTTTTTCGCTTCGTTTTCTATTTGCTCCCCACCGCTCACATTAGTGGATAGAGAGAAAAAAGAGAGAAAGATGTAGGGAGGAAGCCGTCCACAGTGGTGGCCACACACTGGAAATATAGTTTGGCTTCTTTGCTTCCATGCCATCAGCTCAATGGGTTGCTATATTTTTTTTCTCAGTGTTAGATATGGCGAAAAGATTATTTCCCTTTTTTGCTGGTATTCTTTCGTTGTGAGCATCCTCGTTTCCTTTTTTGTTTTTGTTTTTATTTGCACTTCCCCATGAGTTTCTTAGTCTAAGTAGTTCCTGGCACAGAAAGTGGTTCAGTTGAAGTCGGTATCCAATTCTTCCGTCGAAAAGTACCCTTTTCACGCAGAACCCGAGAGAACTGGTTCACCTTGGTGTCAAGGAGGAAATCGAACAGAGTACCTGGCCAAGACTCCGTGACAAGTAAACCATCATAGAACTCGGGAGCAATTTGGCGAAGCTTATGTACTCGAGTCCAGGGAATGTTTGGGAAGTCGTGGTGTTCAACATGATATCCGGCGTTCCATGTCAACCAGTTCAGAGGTCCATAGTAGGAGAAGGTTTCTTGCTTGCCTTCGCCCTTAAAAATGAAGTGTTCCGAAATAAAGTGACCCGCAAAAGGGTGCCAACTGGCACCCAAGAAAATGCAGGCCACAAAATACAGCAGCGACCAGCCGCCAAAAAGTCTGTACATGATCAAATTGAATGTGATCTGCACGGCGTAGTTGATGATATGCGTGTTCTGAAAGGCAATTCTCCGCACGATAACAGGACGGAGAGCATAGAACAGAATCTGGAAAGTAATAAAGAACATTTTCCCAATGTAGTTGGACAGAAGTCTTCCTTCAAGAACCGTTGGTACGTCCACGTCCACCGTCTCCCAACCAAGGTAATGGTGGTGGTCTGCATGATAAGTCTTAAACATCATTGCATAGGGAAACGGCACTATCAGATTGATAAACATAGCGTAGTAATCATTGTATAGCCGTGTCTTAAAACCCAAATCATGCGTAACTTCATGAATGGCCAAAAACGCGCTGTGCGTTATTGTACCCCCAATAAAATAGGCCACAAATAAAAATGTTGGCCAGCTCATTTCAGACGCCTGAGTAGCAAGAAAAATCTGAAAGAGAACAACTGGTGTCATTATTCGGTACATCCAAGGATCCGGACCATAGAGCTTCTTTATTTCGTTCCCATATTTGTTCAACATGGCCCTATTGCGTGTACAATGAGAATATTCGCTTTCAGTCCAATAATAATCATCCCTTCCTTGGTGCTCAACGAGCTTACCCAATAAGGATTCGGAATTCTTCGACATAGCCCAGCTCGACCTAAAACTAAAAGCAAAAAAAAAGAGAAGATGAAACAGAAAAAAAAATCGATGTGCAAAAATATTGTCCCTAATACAAAAAAAATTAGAGTTCCCATCTACAGCACCACGCAACAAAAACCCAAACATCGTTGCAAACATACTTGCAACAATCTGCTTATAATCGGCCAGTGAACCACAACCGCCAGAATCAACTCAATTTCCTCATAATTCCAAATTAGATGCGATCTGGCACAAGAAGAGACAAGTTTACGAAAAAAAACCGTAACACCACCAATGCTAAAAAAAAAAAGTTTGAAAAAATACAGGGCCATAGGCTGAACCC